TGGAACTATATCTTTGTTGGGTGTAAGGTAAATCAGGTGATTATATATATGATTTCACAGATAGAATATATTCGGTAATTTAATTTTTAGTTTTTTCAATAAATAAAAAAAGGAAACATTTCTTAGTTAACTATGACTGATAACTATCTTTTATTTATGTACACAATCAATCGTGAAGTCAAGTATGAGAGCCAACAACAATGACATCTATTATGTTATAACTTATAAAATAAAAATTAATATACAAAAAAAATAGTTCTAAAAAATAAAATGTAGTTGTTCTCTTCACATGTCATCTACACAATTTAGCGTGGAATACAAGTGCAAAGCACGTGTGCTTAGATGACAAGAAAAATATACAACAAATATCGTCTACAAGGTAATATTAGTGAGATATGACTAATTACATGATTGAACCTTTTCAAATTGAAATAATTATATACATTATTGCATTTAACTAATAAAATTTTTCATCGACCATCTTCATAGGTTCGCGTGAATAACATATATATATATGACGATCCATAAACATTCACAAACAAATCTGCAATAATATTTTGTGCAAAGTTAATTATTCAAATCTCCGCTTAAATAAGCGATTTTATTTACTATAACATATATTTTTTGAATTGGTAATCACGTGCAACGCACGTGTCGAAAAACTAGTCCAATAAAATATTGATAACTCTTTTTTATACATTTAAACAATACTAAAAGATAGGATTGAGTGGCTTTGAAGTTAACAAAACAAAATCTGCGCGACGTGTTGGTTCGCGTGAATAAGATATATATATATATATATATGACGATCTACATTAAACATTCACAAACAAATCTGCAATAATATTTTGTGCAAAGTGAAATAATTATATACATTATTGCATTTAACTAATAATTTTTTTCATTGACCATCTTCATAGGTTCGCGTGAATAAGATTATATATATATGATGATCCACATTAAACATTCACAAACGAATCTGCAATAATATTTTGTGCAAAGTTAATTATTCAAATCTCCGCTTAAATAAGCGATTTTATTTACTATAACATATATTTTCTGAATTTGTAAACATGTGCAACGCATGTGTCGAAAAACTAGTCCAATAAAATATTGATAGCTCTTTTTTATACATTTAAACAACACTAAGGGGCCATTTGGTTACTGGTTAAAGTTATGCAGGTATTAGTTATGCAATGTTTAATTATGCAGGTATTAGTTATGTAGGTATTAATTATGCAGGGTTTAGTTATGCAGGGTTTAGTTATGCAGGGTATTAACTATGTGGATATTAGTTATGTAGGTATTATTTAGTTATGTAGAGATTACAATACATGAATTATTAACTATTATATTAAACTTGTAGTAAATTATTAATATATATTATTTACAAAATAATAATACATGCTAATAAAATGTGGAATATATTGAATAATATACAATGCTAATATATATATATATATATTTTTTTATTTTTATTTTTTTATTTTTTTATTATTATTATTTTTATTTTTTTTATTATTTTATTTTTTATTATTATTATTATTTTTTATTATTATTATTTTTTTTAATCAACATTGGACCATGTCGATTTATTCATCAAATAAAAATGTGTCCAAACAAGGTCCAAGAGTGACCAAGTCGGTCAACAAAATAGACAAAACAAAAATAACTAAACTAAAAAATAATCTAATTTGGAAACAAAAAAAATCCTAAACTGATAGAACAACTCCAGTATAATGCTAATATTTGATTAGCATATGTACCGTCAAAAAATATACAATCAAATATCTAATATTAAAAAAATATTTATATTTGCATAAATAAATAAAAAATGGTAAATATAAAAAAAATAAAATGAAAATAGTCTATAGATAAAAAGAAATAAAAACAACAAACGTAGATAGGAAAACAGTAAATTTCCAATTAAAAAAATAAATAAATTAAAAGAAATGAAAATGATCTATATATAAAAAGAAATAAAAACAACAAACGTATATAGGAAATAGTAAAGTTTCCAATTAAAAAAATAAAATAAATTAATAGGGTAAATATGTAATTTATCATTTTAATACATGTATAACAAATACCCACATAACTTATTCCACCTTCTACCCTGCTTAACTTTATTCATAGATTCCCTCATAAGTTATGTTGGTATTAATTATGTAAGACTACAAAAAATGCAACCAAACACCATATAAATTAATACATGATTAACTTTTATACAACATTTAAATTCTTACCAACCAAACATGGTACAAGTTATGTTGACTTTTATACCTAATACAAAACTTCTACCAAACACAGTAAAGCTAATGCAACTTTTTATACATGAATAAGATGTCTCTTATACAGTAACCAAACGACCCCTAAAAGATAGGATTAGGTGGCTTTGAAGTTAACAAAACAAAATATGCGCCACATGTTGGTTCGCGTGAGTAAAATATATATATATGACAATCCACATTAAACATTCACAAACGAATCTGCAATAATATTTTGTGCAAAGTTAATTGTTCAAATCTCCGCTTAAGTAAGCGATTTTATTTACTATAACATATATTTTAAGAATTGATAATCACGTGCAACGTACGTATCGAAAAATTAGTCCAATAAAATATTAATAGCTCTTTTTTATACATTTAAACAACACTAAAAAGATAAGATTAGATGGCTTTGAAGTTAACAAAACAAAATTTGCGCCACATATAATAATAGGTCGATTTTCTACTTTGTTGTTTCTGAAATTTGACACTTCACTTCTGTGGGCTAAATTCTAAAACCTTAAAACCCCTCAATAAACCTTGTTCTTTTTCCAGCAAAAGTTTGTTATTGTTTCTTATAAATGTGATAAATGTTTACTAATTGAAAGAAAGAAGATGAAGGCAATAGATAGGAGGTGTTGCCAATGAAAGGGAATGAAAGAGTGGGGCAATGATTTATATGTGTGTCGACGCCGGCGGGAAGGGGAAACAACCTTGACACAAAGAAGATGAAGAAGACGGTGAGGGCGTTGATTAAAAAAATTAATTTTTATTTTCTTAAAATTCTTTTGGATTACTTAAATACAATTTTAAAAAAATTCAATTCAATCGCCACGTGTCATTGTTTCATTGGTACACCTGATATGTTTGTGTTTGAGCTACACACAATTTTGATTTTCAACTGATTATCTTTTTGTGTCTAATAGATATAAATTTCTTGAGGTTAAAGTGTTCAATAGGTACTAACCTTAGTTGAGATGTCTAAATGAATTATGCGGACAATTTTAAGGGCCGCAGATGACTTAAGCCTTTATTTAATAGCTAATTTTCATGAGATAAATATTTTCATTAATGCAAATATATATATAAAATAAATTTGTATTCGATAATATGGAATAAACATTTTCATCTTGTCGTTACACTAAATTAAAATCTATAACTATAAAAAATAGTAACATTAATTAAAAGTCCTATTAATTTATGTAAGTATATATTTTTTTTAGAAATTCAGCTATTGCACTTTAATTCTTTAGTTATAGCATTGTATATTAACTTAGTTATTACTAATTATTTCAAACGTTATTCACACTCTTTTACATTCTTTAGTTATAATATTATGAATTCCCATAGTTATTACATGAATTATTTCTATCTTTCATCTTTTATTAAGTTTTGACCAATAATTTTTCATATTTTCGCCCCTATATATCTAATAACACGGTGTTGTTATTTTTCTTTTGGATGAATCATGCTTGGTTAAATAAATTGAAAATCGTTTATAAGGATATGGAACTATATCTTTGTTGGGTGTAAGGTAAACCAAGTGGTTATATATATGATTTCAGAGATAGAATATATTCGGTAATTTTAACTTTTAGTTTTTTCAGTAAAAAAAAAAGGAAACCTTCCTCAGTTAACTATTGATAGTCATATAACTATCTTTTATTTATGTATACATTCAATCGTGAAGTCAAATATGAGAGCCAACAACAAGGACGACATCTATTATGATATAACTTATAAAATAAAAATTAATATACAAAAAAATAGTTTTGAAAAATAAAATGTAGTTGTTCTCTTCACATGTTCATATGATATCTACACAATTTAACGTGGAATACAAGTGCAAAGCACGTGTGCTTAGATGACAAGAAAAATATACAACAAATATCGTCTACAAGGTAATATTAGTGAGATATGACTAATTACATGACTGAACCTCTTCAAATTGAAATAATTATCTACATTATTGCATTTAACTAATAAATTTTTTCATTGACCATCTTCATAGGTTCACGTGAATAAGATATATATGACGATCCATATTAAACATTCACAAATGAATCTGCAATAATATTTTGTGCAAATTTAATTATTCAAATATCCGCTTAAATAAGCGATTTTATTTACTATAACATATATTTTCTGAATTAGTATCGAAAAACTAGTCCAATAAAATATTGATAGCTCTTTTTTATACATTTAACAACACTAAAAGATAGTATTAGGTGGCTTTGAAGTTAACAAAACAAAATCTGCACCACATGTTGGTTCGCGTGAATAAGATATATATATATATATATGACGATCCACATTAAACATTACAAACGAATCTGTAATAATATTTTGTGCAAAGTTAATTATTCAAATCTCCGCTTAAATAAGCGATTTTATGTACTATAACATATATTTTCTGAATTGATAATCACGTGCGACGCACGTGTCAAAAAACGAATCCAATAAAATATTGATAACTCTTTTTTATTCATTTAAACAACACTAAAAAATAGGATTAGGTGGCTTTTTTGAAGTTAACAAAACAAATTTTATATACTATAACATATATTTTCTGAATTGATAATCATGTGCGACGCACGTGTTGAAAAACTAATCCAATAAAATATTAATAGCTCTTTTTTATACATTTAAACAGCACATGATTAGGTGGCTTTGATGTTAACAAAACAAAATCTGCGCCACATGTAATAATAAGTCGGCTTTCTACTTTGTTGTTTCTGGAATTTGACACTTCACTTCTGTGGGCTTAATTCTAAAACCTTAAAACCCCTCAATAAACCTTGTTCTTTTCATCTTTTCTTTAGAAAGGGTTTCAGTTTTGGGAAATTGGGGCTGAGCTGTAGTTTGTGTGAAGTGAAAAATGGGGAGACTATTTTTGGTGGATCTTGAAGGCAAAACTTACAATTGCAAATTCTGCAAAACCCAACTTGGTCAGGCTGATGATCTTGTTTCAAAGGTACAATTTTTTCCCTTTTTTAATTTTATTTTTTGGTTCTTTTTTTGTGGTTGAATTACTAGATATAGCTATGGAATTCTGATCTTTCATTGACATATGGTTATATATTACTGTTGGGTACAAGTAAAAATCTCAGCTTTTGTAGATTTTTTTTGTTTTGTTTTTGAAATTAGCTTTCATAGCTAGTAAATAAGTAATTTTTATGTTGTTTAGTACAATTGTAATATGTTTCTGGTTAATTCTGAAGTTTCAAATGTTCTTCCAAGTATTATGAGGATTGAGGATTCATCATGAATCTGAATTAACCATTAGGAAAATGGGTTATTCAAGTTAAGGATGGAAGAGTGTGGAGATTTTATTGACTATTAAAAATTTGTTGTTGATATGATCCAGAAATGAGTGACTACTTCAGGGGAGATAGAAGTGACGTGTAAAGACATTTGGAAGTTTTCAAGCATGTTGGATCATGTTGATTTTATGTATATACATAGATGTTTGAACAAAATAGTTTATAGTTTAGCTAGATTTTCTATTTCTTTGTTGAAGGAGATCTCTTGGGAGAAGTTTTTCCCAAGTTGGATCGTACATGATGCTAAGGATACATTTGAATTCTGTAGTTGTTGATGCAGTAATACAAAGTGTTCAGTTCCGGTGAAAAAATTTCATGAATCTGACAAGTTTTATGTTGGCTGCTAAGCATACACTGACCCTCCTCTTTTCTTTCTATATATATATACTTATATATACCGAGTCTCGGGTGAGCCTTGTGGGTGACGTGGCACCCCCTCGACCCTTAGTAGATCCTCCCCTGGTTAAAAGCATTTCCTTTTTTCACTCATAAGTAAAATATATGCATAAGAATTTTCTAGCACCAACAGGTGACGTAAGTTGGAATTCTTGAAGCAAGTAAAATTAATTGAAACTTTAATTGGAACTTAAGAAGTTCCTTTTATCTCATTGTGTATGAACTGTTAGTTTACATGCTTTGTTGTGGTTTATTGCATGAGAAAATTGTGTTTCGTCTTTGCTGCATAAATTGCAATTCAGTTTGCAATGTTTAACTATGTCTGACGAAATCTCCTTTATGCTATTTATTCAGGCTTTTCATTGCCGCAGTGGAAAAGCATACCTGTTCAATAATGTGTGAGTGGCCTCTAATTATTCTCAACATCAGATTGATAGTATACATTGCTTTTTCATGAATCAGTGCTTTTGTTTTACAAGTGATTTAATTTGTCAGTAAACCTGCATCCAATCATGAGTGACAACTGGTGCTTTCTTTTTGGGGCTTGTACGTTACTGTATCTGTTGTCGGGAGAATGTGTTGTTTAATATGTTTGGCGCATCATTCGGGCGCAGTGGATAGGTGTTTCTCTTAATTGGTAAAGTGTCATGCTACCATTGATAATCTGTTGCGTCTATTTTCAGTGAGTTTCAGACAATACCGTCATTTTTATTCAACAGAATGTCATTTGAGACCAAGCATTTGTGAAATGTATGATATTCCCTGTTTGGACTTTTTTTTTAAAAATGGTAGAGGTTTTATTAACAATAGTACCAAGATGGTACAAAAGTACAAGCCACCAAAAAGTCAAGTAGCAACCATTCTTTGTTCTTATTATTATTCCTTTAAATTTCTGGGGTGGGAGGTTATAGATATAAATGGCTCTTGCAAAGAAATGCACTTTAGGCATATAGGAACTTCTCACATTTAATTTGATTCAAAATGCTTTGTCATGCTTTCTATAGTATTTTGCCACGATTTCTGTACTTCCGTTATTTCTTTTTCAATCTGCATTGATATGGTTTTTTCCTTGAGTTGAGGGTCAATAGGAAACAACCTCTCTACGTCCCAAGGTAGGCGTATTGTTTGGGTACACTCTACCCTCTCCAAACCCCGCTAGTGGGATTACACTGGCTACATAGTTGTTGTTGTTAGTTGCAAGTTCCAATGGTTCGCTCATCATCAGCATCAGCTAGTTATTTTTGTGCATGACTATTTGACTTGGGCCACATTTGGATATAGTGTTACTCAGTTGTCCAAGGTATATACTGTACATGCATACGTATGTATGCTTGCATTCTTCTTGCCCATCTACTTTCAAGACTTCAGTTTCCCTGGATTAGCCTGGCTGTCCAGATGGTATGTTGTCATTAGCAACTATAGTTCAAGTTTTGATAGTTTCATTAATGAGATATCCACCTAGTAAGTCAAAAATGGAAGATAATGCTGCATGCTGGATGGAATCTGTACTTTTATTGTAGACTCAGTTTTCTGAGCGGTTGTAGTTGGTCGAAGACCACTTTGCTTTTTTAAAGACGTTGCTATGTTTAAAGCTTATTTTCTGACAGGAAGCTAAGCTGAATCGTCTTACAGCGGAAATTGGTTATTTAATTCGGGGTTGAACGAATTAGTTAATGTCAAAACATCTAGTTCAGTGGTCATCTTTACTTGGCTTTCTTGATTTTGCAAGAGACGTGTGTTGTTAGCTCCATTATCTGTTCTTTTATCCTTTCCTGGCCTGATCAGACTATGTTTCTTTTCCAATTCATATGATGTAATTTTTCACCTTCTTTCTTTGTGTAGGGTAAATATAACTTTTGGACAGAGCGAGGAGAGGACGATGCTCTCTGGAAAGCACACTGTGATAGATATATTTTGTTGTTGCTGTGGGCAGATTCTTGGCTGGAAATATGTAATCCCTTTTATTCCTTCTTCTTTGTCCATAGGCAGCAACGCGTAGAGCCAAAACGTACAATCATGGGAACACACATAAAAAGTTCCTTCTATTATCTTTTGAGGGATATGAATCGGTGTATATAAGCTAAATTCACACGGTATATGTAACACGCATAGTTCTATTAACGACTAATATTTGTCTCATTCACACAGGAGAAAGCCCATGAGAAAAGCCAGAAGTACAAAGAAGGGAAATTTGTCCTTGAAAGGTTTATTACTCTCTCCCCCTCTTTATCTTTTTATAGTAAAAAAAAGAGTTACGTTAATTCGCATTAACATTTTATCGTGAAAAACAATATGCTCATTTCAAGTGTTCGTAACATAACATTTCTATGCTGTTGATAATGTGTGTGGAACAGAGGCATGATCATTGATGGTGAAGTTGATTCTGAATTCTACATTGATACTCGTGCAAGCACAAGTGATGGTGAAGATACAATGTAACTTGTGGGAGCTTAGTGCACCGATTTGCAGATATTTGTATCTTGTAGACTTAGCAAAAGAACAGTTGTATCTTATCTGGAGATCTCCTCAAGTTTGTGGATATAGAAACTAAGTTGCTGCAGAAGTGTTTTTTATTTAATATGGTTGACTAAAGTAAATGTTTTATTGGTCTTACATGTTTTTTGTGCTTCCTTCATTATATTAGTCTGCTCAGCATGGTTTGTTATGTTTATTTAGGAATGTGCTTGCTTACGCTTTAAGAAAAAAAACTAAATATGTATATTCTCAAATAGGGATCAAATTCCACCCGATGATCGTGTTTGGTGTGGCGAGTGTAGTATCTCAAAAAGGATGTAAGCTAAATACATATATATATATATTCATTGAATAGACTTGCTTAACGTTCATAGTTTATATCTCTATGACTCTATATGATTTGCAATTTGCGATATATATAAGAGTTCTATTTTAAAATGGACGTAAATTATTAGTTTCATTTCCTAACTATTGACAGTTTTAAAAACACAATCTAATTGACAAACTAAATGTAGATACACCCTCAATATACAACATGACATAACAAGTAGTCTCAAACTCTTGTGCAAGCATGAGACTCTTAATAAAAGAATCGAAAGAAGTGTTGAAAATATCTTAAACTTGGCGAGAATTTAAGGATATATTAAGATAATGAATCTTTCAAAGTCTCGTACAAGCACGAGAGTCTTAACAAAAAGAGTGTTGAATACATAACTTGGCAATTTTTTTTTGAAGGTTGTTAATAGTTCTGAAACAAATAAGCACAGTTTGCTAAGATAATGGATACTATATATCTATGGGGTTGAGTGTGTTGGGCACAATCCAGATCCTTTCACCAAACCAAACGAACCTCCTTTCCTTCTTCCAAATCCGAATTTACATATGCAGATTTTCCAATATTGATTGCAATTAGCGATTCGTTTATCTGCGGTTTGCTTTTTAGTATTCCAATTTTGTTAACGAAGAAGAAGAAGAAGTAAATCCGAACACAATGGGAGAACGCAAGTCTTCATCTAAGAAAATATCTTCCAGAAAGAAGAGGCTCAAAGTTTCCTCTAAGGTATCTTTTTCAACTCTCCTTTTCGATGCTTTCCATTTATTCGCATAATAACATTCGTTCGCTTGCTCAGTATTATGTATAATGTTCCTGTATGGTGTGTTGCTTTCTTTCTATTTCGTTTTGAATTATTGTGTGTAGTTATGTATTTTAGGGTTTATCTTCATCTTAAACTAAAGTTATTGAACTTTGTTTTGTATCAAATAAAATCACTCAACTTAAGGTTTTTATTTCTAATCTCCTTTAATTTGCTTTTTAAGGGCTTAAGTTTTTTCTGTTTACTGAATTAATTTTTGTGATGTTATGGAATATGTGTTAATGTCCTTTTGTAGTGATGCTAATAGTTCCCTTTTTACTGGTGGTGGAAATAGGGAAGATAATTAAAACTAATGGTTAGTTATCTGCTATGTTCCAAAAATGTTAGTTACACCCGTGTTGGATCCTCCTAAAATGCTCTACTTTTGGAGGATAGAACACATACCCGGCGACATTTTTGAAGAGTCCGAACAACATAAGTTATATGTACCCTCTGTTGAACCTAAGTCCAAGCAACATATGTAATTAGCTGGTTTAACTTTTGGGTCTTTTCATGTGTGTACCATCAGGGGATGTTTTTTGGGGGATAAAAATTAGGATAGCCGTTCTATTAGCTAAAAATTAAAATGAAACTGTTTTCCAAGAACAAGGGTCAAAAAGTAATTCAGAAGGCTGGTTATTTTGAGTACAATACTTGTATGAGTTGACATTACTGAACTGGGAGAATATAAGTCCTACTCCTTCCAGTTTGTTTAGAAGGGATTATTTTCATGTAAATATTCATATACAAATCTGTAATATGATATGGCTTCATGTGATATAGCTCATGATCGCTCGTAGGAGTGTTAAGTCACATTGCATAGTCATTTGAATCGCTATAGTTAGAGTTCCATGAATCATTTATTGTTCTTTGTATTTTTTTTTGTTTTCTGCTATATCCACAAAATAACCTTAGTGGAGCAAATCTAGAGTTATTTATCAAAAGAAACAATTATCTGCACCTGTTAATACTTGGTATCTTTTAGAAGCCACCATGGAAAAACAGATATCTAAGATCTTGTATTAAATATATTCTCTTTTGTTTCAATTTGTAATTCCTTAACTGACACTCAGAAGAAAGAATTATGAAAGACTTTATAATGCTTGATCATCATGCCAGCACACTTTATACACTCTTTATTGAATATATTTAATACCCAAATATTCATGGAGATGTTTTCATGAGAAATTGCATTATATTTTTAATTAATATTAGGCATGCTTTCGTAGAACAATGTAAGGTTACCTCCTGTTTTCTTATCAATACATTCTCATCTTGTCACTGGCAATTCCAATTTATCTTCCTTCATTAGACATCTTCATGTGTTGTGTGGTTAGATACGCAAGAGAAAAAGCAGAAGAAACAAACCCAAGAAGTTATCCAGTGCCAAGGATGACTCGTCATCTTCTGCTTCCTCTGATTATTCTAGCAGTCCACAGTCTTTGTCCTCTGATTCAGAGGTTGATTATAGTAGGAAAAAATGTAGGCACTCACGTGATATGAAACGCGTGAAGAAAAGAACTTGGAGAAGATATTCAAGCCGAGATGTCAATGATAGTTCACCCCCTGTAAAGAAAAGAAAATGGTCAAATAGAAAGAGTCTTGATTATGGGAGAAAAGTGCAGAAGAAGAAGCGAAAGAGACACACTAGTATTAGCTCCACGAACAGTGACTCAAGAAGTTGTTCTAGTTGCCAAAGTTAAAATAGTATTATCTCCAGAGGTAGACATTCTAAGAGCTTTTCCACTTGCCAAGATGCAACTAATAGTGGTAAATAGGAAGCAATAACAAAATTGAGTTTAATTAAAATACATTTGCATATACTACTTAAGGTTCCAAATATTTATAGTTTTAACAAATTAATTTTGTCTTAAAATACCTGACGTCTGAAGATTTTTTTTATTACATCTAAGTTTTAAATTTTCTAATTTAATTAGTAAAGTCAGTTTCAAAAAAAAAAATTAATTAGTAAAGTATTATTACTGATTAAAGAGAAATAAATAAAAAGTAATATAAACAAGTATACTTATGATTAAAATATTACTATAAATACTTTTGCAAAGCGATGTCCAAATAAAATAGGCATAATATATAAATATATCTTTTAATTTGTCTTCCATACTAAGACGAATGTATCTATTTGTTTAATTTATATAAGTTTAAGATTCTATTTGTACATATTTAAAATTGAAGGGCATAACTATTTGCTTAAGCTAAATTAAAAGCACGTTTATGTATTATGCAATAAAATATTGATAGGATTAGGTGACTTTGAAGTTAACAAAACAAAATCTGCGCCACATGTAATAATAAGTCGTTTTCTACTTTGTTGTTTCTGGAATTTGACAGTTCACTTCTGTGGGCTTAATTCTAAATCCTTAAAACCCCTCAATAAACCTTGTTCTTTTCATCCTTACTTTCAGAAGGGTTTCAGTTTTGGGAAATTGAGGCTGAGCTGCAGTTTGTGTGAAGTGAAAAATGGGGAGACTATTTGTGAGGTATCTTGAAGGCAAAACTTACAATTGCAAATTCTGCAATACCCAACTTGGCCATGCTGATTCACTTGTTTCCAAGGTACAATTTAATTTTTTTTGGTTGATTGACTAGATCTAGCTATGTAAGATCCTGATCTTTCATTTAACATGGTTATATATCAATTTTCGGTACAAGTAAAAATCTCACCTTTTGTATAGGTAGTAATGAGTAATTTTTATGTTGTTTAGTGCAAATGTAATGCTTTTCTTGTTAATTCAGAAGTTTCAAATTTTATGAATTTGTCAATCCTCATCATGAATTTGAATTGACCATTAGGAGAATGGTTGATTGAGTTAGGGATGGTAGAGTGTGAAGATTTTATTTGACTCTAAAAAAATGTTGTTGATATGATCCAGAAATGAGTGACTACTTCACGGGAGATAGAAGTGATGTGTAAAGACGTTTGGAAGCTCTCAAGCATGTTGGATCATGTTGATTTTATGTATATTCATAGATGTTTGAACAAAATAGTTCATAGTTTAGCTAGATTTTTTATTTCCTTGTTGAAGGAGATCTCTTGGGAGAGGTTTTTCCCAAGTTGGATCGTGCATGCTAAGGGTACATTTAAATTCTACCCTCGTCCAAATTAGCAAAGGAATTAACTAGATTTAAGCTAGACATCCCAAGAGTTCATGCTTCAAAACATTCATTAAACAGGGAAGGTTGTCTTCTCTTTTAGAGGAAAGAAAAGATTTTGGGGATAGAAAGAAGGCAACAAAAAATAATTAAAAAAGTCAAAAAAGATTAAATTAAACAATAAAGTCTAAAAAGAATTACTAATAAGAAAAGGAGGAGAATAGGTGAAATGCCTAACTACATAATTGCCCAGTGAGGCAAAAAAAATAGTTAAAGTACTGTAGAGGGCTGGAATCAAACTCACGCAACCTAGAAGGCATTTCTGGAGTTTTGCCAGTGGTGCCATGTATTATTTTATTCAATGGGTGTCACTTTAACTATTTTTTGTAAATTTTCTTTCTCTCTCTCAGTCTCTATCTATATATATATATATATATATAGATATACTTATATATACCGAGTTTCGGGTGAGGCTTTCGGGTGACGTGGCACCCCCTCGGCCCTTAGTAGATCCTCCCCTGGTTAAAAGCAACTCCTTTTTTAACTCATAATTGAAATATATGCATCAGAATTGTCTAGAAGTTGGAATTCTCGAAGCAAGTAAAATTAATTGGAACTCAAGAAGTTTCTTTTATCTCATTGTGTATGTACTGTCAGTTTACTTTCTTTGTCGTGGTATATTGCATGAGAAAATTGTGTTTTGTCTTTGCTGCATAAATTGCATTTCATTTTGCAATGGTTAACTATGTCTGACAAAATCTCCTTTATGCTATTTATTCAGGCTTTTCATTGCAGCAGTGGAAGAGCATACCTGTTCAATAATGTGTGAGTGGCCTCTGATGATTCTCAACGTTATATTGATAGTATACATTGCTAATTCATGAAGCTGTATTTTTGTTTTACAAGTGATTTAATTTGTCGATAAACCTGCATCCATTCGTGAGTGACAACTGGTGCTTTCATTTTGGGGCTTGTACATTAGTGTTTCTGTTGTCGGGAGAAAGTGCTGTTTAATATGTTTGGCGCGTCATTCGGACGCAGTTGATAGGTGTTTCTCCTAATTGTTTAAGTGTTACGTCACCATTAACAATCTGTTGCGTCTATTTTCAGTGATTTATAGGCAATACCGTCATTTTTATTCAACAGAATGTCATTTGTGACCAAGTATTTGTGGAATGAATGATATTGCCTGTCCGGACATTTTATTTTATTTTTGAAATGGTAGAGGTTTTTATTAATAATAGTACCAAGATGGTACAAAAAGTACAAGCCACCAAAAAGACAAGTAGCAACCCTTCTTTCGTCTTATTATTATTCCTTTAAATTTCGGGGGTGGGGGGTGGGGGGTGGTTATAGATATAAATGGCTATTGCAAAGAAATGCACTTGAGGGCTGAGGCATATAGGAACTTCTCACATTTGATTCAAAATACTTTGTTATGCTTTCTATAGTATTTTGCCATGATTTCTTTACTTCCGTTGTTTCTTTTTCAATCTGCTTTGATATGTTTTTTCCTTGAGCCGAGGGTCTACAGGAAACAACCTCTCTACCTCCCAAGGTAGGCGTATGGTTTGGGTACACTCTACCCTCCCCAGACCCCGCCTATAGGATTACATTGGGTAAGTAGTTGTTGTTAATTGCAAGTTCCAATGGCTCGCTCAACATCAGCATCAGCTAGATATTATGTGCATTTGAGCATGACTGTTTGACTTAGGCCACATTTGGATATAGGATTTGCTCAAATGTCCGAGGTATGTACTGTACGTACATACATACGTATGTATGCTTGAATTCTTCTTGCCCATCTACTTTCAAGACTTTGGTTTCCCTGGATTAGCCTGGCCCCCCAGATTGTATGTTGTCATCAGCAACTATAATTCAAATTTTCATAGTTTCATTAATGAGTTATCAACCTAGCAAGTCAAAACAGAAGACAATGCTGCATGCTGGATGGAATCTGTACTTTTGCATGGTTGCTTGGTGTAGACTGGAGTTCTCTGAGCGGCTGTAGTTGGTAGATGACCACTTTACTTTTTTAAAGATGTTGCCATGTTTTAAGCTTAATTTCTGACAGGAAGCTAAGCTGAATCATCTTACTGCAGAAGCTTGTTTTTTAATTAGGGGTTGAATGGATTAGTTTATGTCATGGTTGGTAAGTGGTGATCTCTTACCAGGAGCACAATCTAGTTCAGTGGTCTTCTTTGCTTGGCTTTCTTGATTTGTGGAAGAGATGTGTGTTGTTTGCTCCATTTTCTGTTCTTTTATCCTTCCTCGGCCTGATCAGATTATGTTTCTTTTCCAATTCATATGATGGATTTTTTCACCTTTCTTTCTTTGTGTTATTCAGGGTAAATATAACTTTTGGACAGAGCGAGGAGAGGACGATGCTTCCTGGAACGCACACTGTGACGGATATATTTTGTTGTCGCTGTGGGCAGATTCTTGGCTGGAAATATGTAATCCCTCTCATTCCCTCTTCTTTGTCCATAGGCACCAACACGAGAGCCAAAACATACAACCATGGGAACACACACACAAAAAGTTCCTTTTATTGTCTTTTGGGGGATATGAATCGGTGTATGTAAGTTAAACTCACACAGTATATGTAACATGTGTAGTTCCATTAACGACTAATATTGGTGTCTCGTTTACACAGGAGAAAACCCATGAGGAAAGCCAGAAGTACAAAGAAGGGAAATTTGTCCTTGGAAGGTTTTATTACTCTCTCACCCTCTTTACATTTTTATAGTAAAAAAATAATTGCGTTAATTCGCATTACATTTTATCGTAAAAAATCAATATGCTCATTTTAAGTGTTCCTAATATAACATTTCTTTGTTGTTGATAATGTGTGTCGAACAGAGTCAGGATTATTGATGGTGAATTTGATTCTGAATTCTACATTGATACTCGTTCAAGCTCAAGTGATGATGAAGATACAATGTAAATTGTGGGAGCTTAGTGCACCGATTTGCAGATACTTGTATCTTGTAGACTTAGCAAAAGAATAGCTGTATCTTGTCGAATATCTCCTCAAGTTTGTGGATGTAGAAACTAAGTGCTGCTGAAGTGTTTTCTAATCAATATGCTTGACTTAAGTTAATGTTTTAGTGGTCTTGCATGTATTTAGTGCTTCATTATATTATTCTGCTCAGCATGGTTCGTTATGCTTTCTCTATTATTTGTGATGGCTTATTTAGGAATGTAATTGCTTATGCTTTAAGAAAAAAATCAAATATATATATATATATATTCAAATAGGGATCAAATCTCACCCGACCACTCGATTGAGTTTGGTGTAGCAAGTGTCGTATCTCAAAAGGATGTAAACTATATATATATATATACTAGTTTCACGGCATGTGCAGTGCAGTGTATGTGTGTATCGTATCATATCGTATACAATAGTGTAAAATAGAATTAATATTACTAAATTAAAGATTTTTAGTAAATAACTATAATTTAAAGAATATAAGACAAGTGATTATAAATGATTAATACAGATTATCATAGAGTAACTTATTGTTTAGATCAAAATGACAAGATATCATTGAAACTTTTCAAAATACATCCAAAGTTTAAATATGGGGAGAAAGTGATATTTCTTGAGTAGTATTGTTTTTTACTTCACTCCATTTTGTAAACAAATTTAACCAATAATATAGAAATAAATATCAATATAAGAAAGGTCACCAATAGCAGTGGCGTACCCACCCTTACCAAACTTCGTTGGAAAATTACATTGTATATAGAGGTTAAATTTTGATTTAGTAAATACTCCCTTCGTCTCATTTTATATGTCATCCTTTTCTATAAATAGTTGGTCCATAATACTTGTCATTTCATAAAATTAATGTGTAGATTACCATATTGTTCATTTTTTATCCTTGTGAGTTATTAGCCTTGAAAATATACATTTGATCAACTTAGAAAAGCTAAGTAAATGATTCATGTTCAATAGTTAAATTAATTAATAAAAATAAATTAATTTATATTCATTGATTGAAAACTTGAGTTTCAAAAAAATTAAATAAGAGTAGAAGGATAAAGTTACATTATTTCTTAATGCAAATGCAAAGTAAAAAGGTGACATATAAAATGAGACGGAGAGAATACATATATAAACATTTACACCTCTTAACACAATAAATATGTATTTTCCACTTTCAATACATTAGTTTATTTAATTGTATTTAATATGGACGCCATAATTTTCTTTCAATTTTCAATTAAACTATACCCTCTCTCTCTCCTCTCTGGTTTTAATTGCAATTTTAAAGGACAATTTATACCCCACAATCCACAAACTTGTTAATAGATGCTCACACAAATTTTGTTGATGGTATCTTGCTCAAAATATATTTTTCAACATGAGACTCTTTATAAAAGAATTTATACAACATAAAATATGATTTCAAATTCTTGTGGCGAGCATAAGACTCTTTATAAAAGAACAGAGAAGTGTTGAAAAATACTCTATACTAGGTGAAAATTTAGAATTAATTTCACTTATGTTATAAGACTAAAGAGCATATTTACATGTATGTACTAAAGTAAAGATATTTTTAAGGTTGTTGAAACAATATGATCGAGTTTAGGGGTATTAAGAAGTAATAAGTACATATTACGGTAAAATAATAAGCAAGCAGGTGCAGCTTGCTATGATAATGGATACAATATATCTATGGGTTTGAGTGTGTTGCCGGATCCGAATTCACAATTATCGATTCGTTCATCTGCGGTTTACTTTTTGCTATTCCAATTTTGTTTACAAAGAAGAAGAAGAAGTGAATCCGAACACAATGGGAGAACGGAAGTCTTCATCTGAGAAAAAATCTTCCAAAAAGAAGAGGCTCAAAGTTTCCTCTAAGGTATCTTTTTTAACTCTCCATTTCGATGTTTTCCATTCATTTACCTAATAACATCCGTTTCGCTTGCTCAGTATTATGTATAATGTTCCTGTATGCTGTGTTGATCTCTTTCTATTTCGTTATGAATTTCTGTGTATAGTTATGTATTTTAGGGTTTATGTAGAATTTATTGAACTTTGTTTTGTATCAAATAAAATCACTCAACTTTAAGGTTTTTATTTTCAATAATCTTAAAAGGTTATTGAATTATGAGAATTCTCCTTTAATTTGATTTTTAAGGGCTTATGTTTTTTCCTGTTTACTGAATTAATTTTTGTCATGTTATGGAATATTTGTAAATGTTTTCCTTTTGTAGTGATGCTAATAGTTCCCTTTTTACTGGTGGTGGAAATATGGAAGAGAATTAAAAATAATGGTTAGTAATCTGCTATGTTGCTCGGACTCTCCAAAAATGTTGTTGAATCTGTGTTGGATCTTCCCATAATGCACTACTTTTGGGGGATACGACACACACGACAACATTTTTAAGGAGTCTGAACAACATAAGCTATTTGTACCCTCTGTTGAACCTAAGTCCAAGCAACATATGTAATTTGCTGGTTTAACTTTTGGGTCTTTTCATGTGTGTATCATTAGGGGATGTTTTTTGGGGGATAAAAATTATGCTAGCCGTTCTTTTAGCTAAAAATTAAAATGAAACTGTTTTCCAAGAACAAGGGTCAAAAAGTAGTTCAAAAGGCTGGTTATTTTGGGTACAATACTTATATGAGTTGACATTACTGAACTGGGAGAATATAAGTCCTACTCCTTCCAGTTTGTTTAGAAGGGATTATTTTTCATGTAAATATTCATATACAAATCTGTAATATGGTAAGGCTTCATGTGGTATAGCTCATGATCGCTCGTGGGAGTGTTAAGTCACATTGCATAGTCATTTGAATCGTTATAGTTAGAGATCCATGAATCGTTTATTGTTCTTTGTATTTTGTTTTCTGCTCTATCCGCAAAATAAACTTAGTGGAGCAAATCTAGAGTTATTTATCCAAAAAAACAATTATCTGCACCTGTTAATACTTGGTATCTTTTAGAAGCCACCATGGAAAAAAGGATATCTAAGATCTTGTATTAAATACATTCTCTTTTGTTTCAATTTGTAATTCGTTAACTGACACTCAGAAGAAAGAATTATGAAAGACTTTATAATGTTTGATCATGCCAGCACACTTTGTACACTATTTATTGCATTATATTTTTAATTAATATTAGGCATGCTTTCTGTAGAACAATGTAAGGTTACCTCCTGTTTTCTTATGAATTCCAATTTATTATCCTTCATTATACATCTTCATGTGTTGTGTGGTTAGATACGGAAGAGAAAAAGCAGAAGAAACAAATTCAAGAAGTTATCCAGTTCTGAGGATGACTAGTCATCTTCTGCTTCCTCTGATTATTCTAGCAGTCCACAGTCTTTGCCCTCCCATTCAGTGGTTGATTATAGTATGAAAAAACGTAGGCACTCACGTGATATAAAACACGTGAAGAAAAGAACTCGGAGAAGATCTTCAAGCCGAGATGTCAGTGAGGGTTCACCCCCTGTAAAGAAAAGAAAACAGTCAAATAGAAAGAGTCTTGATTATGGGAGAAAAGTGCAGAAGAAGAAGCGAAAGAGACACGCTAGTATTAGCTCCACGAACAGTGACTCAAGAAGTTGTTCTAGGAAAATAGTATTAGCTCCAGAGGTAGAGATTTTAAGAGCTTTTCCACTTGCCAAGATACAACTAATAGTGGTAAATAGGAAGCGATAACGAAATTGAGTTTGATTAAAAGACATTTGCATATACTACTTAAGGTTCCAAATATTTATAGTTTTAACAAATTAATCTTGTCTTAAAATACCTGACGTCTGAAGAATTTTTTTTATTATATCTAAGTTATAAATTTTCTAATTTAATTAGTAAAGTATTATTACTGATTAAAGAGAAATAAATAAAAAGTAATATAAACAAGTATACTTATGATTAAAAATATTACTATAAATACTTTTGCAAAGAGATGTCCAAATAAAATAGGCATAATATATAAATATATCTTTTAATTTGTCTTCCATACTAAGACGAATGTATCTATTTGTTTAATTTATATAAGTTTAAGAGTCGATTTATACATATTTAAAATTGAAGGGCATAAATATTTGCTTAAGCTAAATTAAAAACACGTTTATGTATTATCATTCAAATATATATATATATATATATATATATATATATATATATATATATATATTATTATTAAAAGTGGGAAGCTCCAAAGTGCAAAGTTGGATTACCATTTTACCCCTACACTATATAAAAATATTATAAATTATATATATGAACTGATTATTAATTATTAATACAACTCAAAAGTTATTTTTTTATTTATCAATTATGAGTTATGTCTCTTCAATGGCTCAATCCCATTTTCCAGCAACCATACAACTTCAGCTATTTAAACTGTATATTATTTTCTGTTTTCAAAGCATTTAGTTGCTTTTCCGTATTAAATTAAATATTTTCTGTTTTCAAAGCATTTAGTTAGTTTCCCGTATTAAATTAAATATTTTCACTTTTCTAATCATTTAATAGACTCTTTCGTTTTGGAAAATGAATAGTTATATGTATTGTAAATTAATTATCATTTTTTACTTCTAATCTTTTTTATAGTTTTCTCTTGTATTTGCTTAGCCTTTGTGTTTGCTAATTACTAATTTTTATTTATTTTTCTTTGTTTCAGATATTATCTTGCAATTGTGAACTCTTCCCTTCTTCATCGCATCATCAGCTACATAATAGATATGATAGTCATATCATTGGAGTTATGCCTAGTCATGAAGAAGGTAAACATATATTAGGCCAATTCACTAGGAATCTTTTTAGTTTGTTAAGATGTGTCTCATAAGGAAATATAGAGAACTTGTATTGTTTGAGATCCATAAATTAGTAGTAAATACTAGAATGAAATGAGTCTAAATAGAGTGAAATAAATAGTGAGAATGCATATGCCGACTCTAAGAAGCATGTAATTGAGGTATGGTTGT